GGGCCATATCAATCGGCATTGGACGAACCGCAGCCAGAGAGTTACCTCACCTTCGGGTCAAATTCGTAGACCTTGAGAGTCACGGAACTCGCACCAGATGTGCAGGCGCCAATATGCTTGCTGAGATGCTGCTGCGCATGATACTGATCGATCATGTTGATGCCACCAGCATTCTCTGGTCGAATGAGACAGAAGTGTCTGTAAGGGAGGGAGCTCTTCTGATCCCTAGAGTGCGGCAGAACCGTATCTTGAACTCCCACTCCAGCCGCCCAGGCAGACATACGACAACATCTCAATTCGACGTACTGCCTAGCTCTTTGCCTATCGAATCTGGTACCTCCCTCGCTGGCCCTTCGCCGGATCAGTTATATAAGATTGTCTCGTCATCGGTCGTAAAATTCAAATGCCCCGAGCTTGAAGAACCATTCCACATAGGTATCGTGACTCGAGGAAATGAGAACAAACACAGATTATACCTTTGGCCTAGCCGTGATGGGCTGATTGACATCGATAGCTGGCCACAAGATATAGATCCTGATGAGTTGCTGCCTTTGATCTTGCTTATTATTGTATGCGAGAGTGCACTGTCGGATTGCACCGGAACAGTATGGATTCACAACGCAAATCCCCAAATGTGCGAAACTCTCTCTCTCGTGGCCAATCGAACAAGTACACAAGTTTTCTTGACCACTCATGATACTGCTGCTAAAACCTCGCCTGCCAGCACTAAGGCAATGTTCATTCATCCAAGAGCTACCTTCCGTTCCCTCAATCTATTGATACCTCGGTCGATTAGGCGGTTCGTCAACATGGATGCGATTGCCGGGACCGCTAGCTCCGCTGTTGATTTCGCTCTGAATTTCTTGAATCAAGAGCTAGACTTTCGGTCTGGCTTCCAGAAAATATCAGCGCTGGAGCCGTTTTCACTGCACATTGCGAAATCTAAACTCTCGTCAATACTGTCCCAATACTTCACGGAACCCACAATCTTACAGAGCCTTTGGCCTCCTGAACGGCATGTCATCTTGAGACCCGATCAACTTCTCGACGACCAGAATGCCTCTGCTGCCACGAGCGTGATTTCCTGGTCTGGTGGCAAGTCTGTTAGTATTATGCCAGTATCACCCGCAAGCAAAGATCAGATATATTATTTAAATAAACCTTATAACATATATTAAAATTTATTATATAATAAATAGTTTTTGCTTTTATTTAATTATAATAAAATATGTATTGTTTATATTAGCTATAAAAAAGCGGCGTGGCTTAGGTTGGCTTCCCATTCCGATTCGGGATAGTAAAACCTATCTCAGAGGTTCTAGTTGAACTTCCTGTGCCTGATAGGCAGCTTATTGGGCCGCGATAAATGCCTTCCTCATCGTAGCAACTCCAGTTTCTGCGGTTCGGTAAGTAGATTACGATTGAATTTTAAATGCACGCTGTTCGGTCACACAAAGAGTACCTACTTATTGTTGTAGTTTTTTGATAGTGCGTCAGGATTAAGTGGACTTGAGTGATCAGGCGTAGATTCTTCTTTGCTTTTCTTACTGTAACTGCTATCCATACATGTATAAATACTGCGATATCTTCACATTTTAGTTTTCGCGTAGTTTTCACTTTTTCAGCAATCGCTCTTCCATCAAAATTCGGCTGATGAATTCGTTTCCTATCTAAGCCTTCCAGAGTCAACGTCCCTTCAATCCGCAAGCCACTGATGTGTTTTATGTGAGTGTTTTCGTGACCCACGTCAACAACTTCTACTAACAATGGCAGAAACTCCTTAATAGATCAAGAAAAGGTGGTGTGTGAAGCACGCCAGCTTATCTATACTTAATAGCAGCCTTATAGATTAGATTAGACTAATTCAGAATTAATCCACTCCTATACTAAGTTCAATCCATGATATCAGGAGCTCTATCAGCCATCTATTTCTGGGTGGTCTGCCAGGCGGATACGATGACATCAAGGTTCTGGATAAAGTCCCGACGCTTAGGCTCCCACCCAAGAACGGAACGTGCCCGCGAAGAATCCGAAGACGCAACCAACGCGACTGCCTCCAGGAACGCATCGCCATGTGTGCCCTGGTATTGAATCCGTCCCTTGACGCCCAGCACCGAGGCGGCACCCGTCAGCACGTCGTTAATGGCAACGTTCTCCGTGACGACATCGAAGACGGGCCAGGAACCGAGGCCGTGGCCGATCTTGTCGACGGTGGCCAGGTACGCGGCCGCGAGGTCATCCACGTGGACGATTCCAGTGCGGGTCTTCTCGTCGACCGGAATTCCCACGGCATCTCGACTGCCGCTCTTGGCGGCAGCAAGCAACGGGCCCCACCAGGGGCTGAGCACCCACGATCCTCGGCCATAGATAGCGCCTGGTCGGAGGATGGCAACGTCGAGGACGTCCCGCGCAGCCAGGACAGTCTGCTCATGTGCCGGACGCCAGGCAACGGCAGTGGCAGGCTTGTCGGGGGCTAAAGAGGTCCCGGGAACGGTTAGGTCGCTGACCCGACGGTCTGGGGAGCCATGAACCCAGGAACCAGATGTGTAAATGTATCCTAGCTTAGGCCCAATGGCCTTGTCTTTCGCTAGTGTATCCGCACGATTGCGGGCCGCCTGCACGATGCTATCGAGCATGGTCCTGACATCCCCATACGCCTGTGTGGTATCAATGACAACGTCGATGTGGTAGGCAGCAATAATGTCGATGAGAAACTTAGAGTCTGTCGCGTCTCCCTCGATCGGGGTTATCTCATTAGCCGTGAGGGATGTAAGCTTGTTTCCGTCACGGGTCGTCGCAAAAACAGAGTGATTACCGGAACGGAGGAGTGCTTGACCGACGGCAAGCCCCAGGTAACCAGCACCCCCAAGAATCAGAACTCTAGGCATGGTCTGAAGATAGCAAGATACTGCAAGGGTAAAGATTTGATTTCTAGAAGATCAAGATAGAAGCTTGAGTTGTCTTTCGGCTTGCTCATTTACTGCCTGATGACTCTCCCTACGTCTATTTGTACATAGATATCAATCCCACATATCCCACACATCCCATATATCCCACACAATGAATGTATAAGCAAAGGCAATTTTCAAAAACTTAGATTCTGTCAACAAACGCATGTGTCGAAAGCCATTAGATGTGTTGTGCAGCAACACCGGCCCTCTTGACTTGGTGTCCACTTGCCGGGATTATGCGAATCAAATAATCCCGAACTCACACTATAAGTTCGGCTTTACGCTTTCTCATTTTGTTATAATCCCGACAACGATATTGCAACTGAAGTCTTGTGTTTGACTAATCCTATCATGACATTCCTGCTTAAATAATTCAGTTACAAATAAATGATGTATATGGTGAAGCAGTGTAAGTGAGGTGGCTTACGTAAAAATCGCCATCGGGGGTTCAAAAGGGGTAAGGGTGGCGTTAGTGTTTGTTATTGTACAGACTTTGCGATGGATTCTATTTTTTGGACTTCACTACACAGCTTTCTCAATACAATCGTTGCCTTTCCTAAAGACTATTGCTTATTGTACCTTCAGATTTACTTAATCACGCAGCTCCTCATTGATTTTACTGGATTTTATCAGCCTGGGATGCGGAATATTCAGATTTCCTCCCTGCGCTGAGGTTCACGGGACTTGCATTCACCCGTGGCCGTTCCAATGGGTAGAACTCATTAAGCTCGGTTGGCATAGGTTGACTCAAACCAGGGGTAACATTGATATACTAACCCACATAGTAAAGAAACTATTCGTCCAGATTACCGACCGTGGACTTCAAATGGCTTCCTGCTGAGTACTTAAATATCGGCTTCCTACCATCTGAAGCTGGCATAGGTAGACTCACTCTCCTGAGTATCGAGCACGAGATCAGCTATCGGGTCGCCGCTCCAGTTGACGTCACGCAGTCTCCATAATTGACCTCAATCGAGGGTCTGTCTGCATGATATTTCCCCAAGGTGCGCGGCGCGGCGCGGCAACGACGGTGACGGCGACGGCATGATCCATCTCGAGATGGTGAGGCGAATAGTAACAAGGGGAAGGAACAACAGTCATCGTCGATTAGGTCCTAGCAACGTGCTTCGTCTTCCAACCCGCGAGTCACCGCATCAACAAACTCGGGCCCATACGGCGGCGAGGTGATCTCTCTCTCTGCGTTTGTGAACGCGTTAGTCTATCTAGGTCATGGTTTCCATCGGAGAGAGAGAGAGAGAGAGGGAGGGAACCAACCAACCTTGGCCTCGAGATGACAGCGTCGACGTCTATCTAGGGGAGGAGTTGAAATTTGTGATTGCCTGAAAGGAAGCAATAATAGTAGCCTAGCCCAGTTAGCACAAATATCCCTATCATCAAGTTGGCTAATTATGGTTGAAGGCGGCTCCTGTGTATGTACAGTTGCTGCGGCGGTTCCGAGAGCTTCCTCGGCGCCCGGTATCGTGACGACTCTCTCTGCCTCTTGAAACCAGCGCTGAATATGGTCATCTTGGTAGGAATATCACCAATGAGACATTACTATCATCGCTGATAGTCGTTGGTTGGTGGTATTAACGCCGGGGGAAGGAAGGCAAATGCCTTCATACCTCCCTAGGGGTTTGCGGCGTGTAAAACTATCTCTCTAAACTATCTATCTCTACCGTTTAAGGAGACATTATAATCAATATACGAGATATTTTACAAATCAAACCATAAAAGCTCGCGTGATAGTCAAACCGTATCCGTTGGCCCCGCCCTCTGGACTCGTTCGGCGTTGTGTGTTCGTACATAGTTGGTCCTCTTACGAAGGAGCAAGCCAGGATCCAGATACAAAAGAAAAGAGTAGGAAACAGTAGTTCTAGTGACGGTGTGACCCGTGTGTCGGTGGGCAACGTCGTTGGGCCGTAGTAGCCGAAGGTGTCAGGTATGTATGTACAACGTCATATAAGTATACAAGAATAGAAAAAGGTGATTATTGCTGGAGTAGTTCCGGGTTGCATGCAGCTGGGCTACTCCAAAAAGAGAGTTTAGTGGTCAGTATGAGGGTCGAACTCATGACCTTCGCATTATTAGTACCTGTGGCATAATCATTAGTGGATATTTTCTCTAACAGTGGATGAGAACAACTTACGACGCTCTAACCAACTGAGCTAACCGACCGATTGATTATTTCGCTGAGAGTCTTGCGAGCAGCAGGATCATTGATACGGGCTTCGCTCATAGTGTCCATGGTGGATGGCTGGCAGCTCTCAATTACGTGAGTTGGATTCGGGTCAATGTTGGGATAGCAAGGGTCGATACCTAAAGTAAACAAATAGGGGAAGTCGGTTTTGACAATTTACGCCTTGCCTTGGTTGCCTTAGACGGGTTGCCTTTACCGAAGTTGACCAATCAAGGAGGCTAGGCAGACTGTCTTGTGTGACAGTAATATTCGAATCTGTTAACACGGCCAGGTCAAAGTCGAAGCAGGAAACATTGCATAGCAATATGGTACCGCCGTATAGACTTCTCTTACATCCACGTAGGATAACACGCCCAAAAGCGCTCTAAACGATAAAACATCTCAGCTTCATAAATACCATAACATGATTAATCTGCGAGATGTTTTTTCAAATTATTTTAACAATGTTGTTGGTTGTGTCGTTACGTGTGGCAGCCAGAGAGTCCGCCCCGGTACCGTATGCTGTGAAGTATTATCCTGTTCTGACTTTTCCGTGAGAACACGTATGTGGAAGCGCCCTGCTCTTGCACGGAGTCTCTTCATACAAAAAGAGGGGGTGAACCTGTTCTTTTAGATTCTCTCTCCTTTTTTCGTCTGGCAACGCTTTGATCTATCTGCCTGCCTTTGCCTCTTCACACCTCTCAGACTTTCTTCTTTCGTCCATACCGGATAGCACTATGTATGGGTCCAGCGTCTTCGCGGTTTTGATTGCTGTAGATCAGGATAATATGGCGAACAGCGCATTCAAGTTGCCTGAGAATTCAAAGTGGTATCGCGAAGCAACTGGCGGCGTAGCCAGACGGCCAACTATGTCATATCGGGAAGCCACACCTGGCGGCGACGGCGAGGAGGGCGAACGAACGGGAACGGACACTGTCGATCGTCTTGTCATTACCTTCGATGAAGAGTGGAAGAACCCTTCTAAAGGCCTTCAGTTTGGCACCGACTATATCAACTCAGACATTTTACTCGGGCACCGAGGAACACTCAACATCAGCGCAACGCACTTCCGCATCGTGGTAGACCGACAGCTTCGTATATGGCTCCACGCTAACTCAAGACATGGGACTGCAGTTTGTCACAACAACCAGAGCCAGCACGATGTGCGGACAAACGAAATATGGATCATGGCTGACGAGCCGACCCCCCGGTTCATGTTCGACACAACGACAATCCATTTAGGTCGCCTGGCTTTCAAAATTCTCTTTCCCAACCATCACTCCGACGATCTCATGTATCTCTCACATCTGAGCGGATTCGCGAGGCAGATGGCAGCAATGCCGGCCGTGCACAGTCTTGCCCTGAACAGCGCGTTGACGACTCAGGCCCCTCATATCTGCTACACGCTGGCTCACATCGGTGGGGGTACGTTTGGTCATGTCTACAAAGCCGTCGGGGCCCGTGATGGACAGATTATCGCAGCCAAGATCTTTAGACCTGAACTTCTCGCCCACGACCTTAGTGAGGCGCGCAAGGAATTCAACATCATAGGAAATCATTCTCATGTAAGTGGCTTCGGTCCCACGCTATTCTAGCGTCGTGCTGATCGCGCCTGGAGCAGGAACACATCGTGAATGTGTTTAAGTTTGAGGACCATCCACGCCCTGTCATATACATGCAATTATACCCAAGGGGACACATACGGTTCGGTCATGACGATAAACAACGGTGGGCAACTGCCTTTGGGCAGGTGCTAGAAGGATTGGCGTTCCTCCACGAAAATGGAATCGTTCATGGAGACATAAAGCCGGAAAACCTCCTTTACGAGGAGGAACCGGCCTTCAAGGTCGTTATCTCGGACTTCGGTCTGGCTAAGATGACTGACCAGAGTACCCAGCCAAAGACGCAGAGTGGTACAACCAGGTATATGGCACCTGAGGTCATCTGCTCCTCAGCAGATTCCTATAAGGAGAGTGTCGATATCTGGTCGCTGGGCGTCGTTATTCTGGAAGGAATGTATCGCCTCCCCGGCTTGAGCGCACCGGAGCTAAGCGGGACCCAGCAGCAACGAGACGCATCAGTAAACGGGTGGTGCAACTATCTCCTTGAGTGCCTGAACATTAATGACCGGGAGCCGGGGAGCGATAATGTCATTAATATCTTGAGAGATATGATAATAGTTGATCCGAATGGACGGACAAGCGCAATCGGCTGCCTGGATAAAGGAGTTTGTCATATCAACTTGTGGAGCAGAGTCAATGACTTGATCGAGGCAACCGATCTAGTATTCAGAAGAAGCAGGGCAACGACGCCATGCTGCATCGACACGGCAAAATGCTATCGAACCCGACTCTGTTACCGAACTTCATGCTACTACTAACTCTGACTTTGCTACTGTTAACGTCGACGAACAGCTGTAATGAAGTTCCTTCTATTACTGCCTCGGATGATGCGAATGATCTAGATGAATGCTTGGCAATCTCGGCACATTACGTAGGAGTTCAAGCAGAGTAATGATGCCACTGAGTTATACAGCAGTTTAAATTAGATCATATAGATAATGGAAAAAGGACAACATCAAAGGTTTAACTAACCAGTAGGTTGTAGGGGAACTGCCAATAATCGCGAGTGGGTATTGATGTAAATAGTGACTTGGAAGCTTCTGTGAGAGATTCTCACACGACCACGCCCCTTTCATTTGCTTAGGTGTAATAACAGACAGCGTCGTCACGGCTATCAATGTGTTTCTTCTTATGCTTTCCGTCCACGATAGCGAGTACACCGACCCCTTTAACAATGCCGCTCTTGACGCCACGCAGTGTTTTCAGGATATTCACTCATCTTCATCTTCATCGCTATCGCTATCGCTCTGAACATCCCCACCCGACCGCAACAAGGATTCCCTCGCCTTGGCGATCCTCTCCGAGGCGTCGGCACTCACACACAACCTAGGATCGAAGTTACGCAGACCGGGCTCACCCTCGGCGCCGGCCATGGTGGCGAGCGCGGCGAGGCCCATATAAGCGTGATAGACATCCGGTGGACCGCCGGGGTGTTTTGCGAACCCGCCGATCAGATGCTGTGTTTTCTCGAGGATGAAGCGCCGCGCGGGACCACGATTGACGAGGCCGTCTTCCCCCAGTAAAGACAGGGCGCCGCTATTCCACCACGTGTAACACGTATCGGGAAGCTTGTTCAAGCGGCCATTGAAACCTGCTAAGTGCGGCACGGCGTCGGACAAAGAAAGATCTGGCGGTGGATCGCCATCATCGCCGTCGTGTGGATCTGAGTAGGCAAATTGCCGACTGACAAGAAAGTGAACTAGCGAAGGCATGGATGGGATGCCGGCGTGGATGTAGCGTTGCGGCGCAGCCGAGGGGTCGGGATTAGCCGAATCGAGCAGCGCTAACGCGGCGACGGCGCAATATGCATATCCGCCTGTGAAGTGTGAATAAGCGTAACAACAAATACGGAGATTTAGGAATGAAGGGGTCGGCGTCATGGAACGTACTGTGACTTTCGTGCAGAGAACTCTCGCTCATGCCGCCATCGAATGTCTGTGCGCGACGGATGTGTCCCACAAGGGCGTCGACGTCAAAGTCCAGGGACCTGTCGCCGTCTGCGCCGCCGCCCAGTGCCCAGCGAATGATGGCGGCGATGTAGCAATATCTCATGTCCCTGCCGCCAGAAACCCGGCCGTCATCGGTCCGGACCTCGCCGAAGCTCCCATCCTCTCTCTGCAGCGTCTTCAGCCACGTCAGCGTGCGCACTCGGTCGACACGACTGAAGGCATCGGAGCCGTCCCCCTCGGCGAGGATGCCCAGGGTCAGCAGAGCGAAGCCGGTGGCGGCTATGTTGGCGTTGGCGGGATCGCGGGCGACGCAGGCGTTGGCGTCGTGGTCGAATCGGCTGGTGAAGTGGCGCGGGAGGACGTGATGGGGCGAACCGCAGAAGCCGCCGTGGGGGTGCTGGAGGCGCAGGACCCAGTCGCGTAGACGGGTGCGGTCGTCGGCGGTGACGAGGGGCGCGGGCGACGAGGGCGACAGGAGGTCGAGGGCGGAGAGGATGAAGAAGCCCAGGGTCAGGCGGATGCTGTCGTTGCTGGTGTAGTGGTGGGGGAGCATGGACCGGAAGCAGCGCTGCCAGTAGCGGATGTGGCGCGCTGCGTCAAGGGGCGGGTCCATCACCACCTCGGCCGTCGTCGTCATGTTGAATTGGATGGACAATTGAAGTCCATTATTTCTTCGAGGCGAGGGGAAGAGGGAAGAGGGAAGAGGCAAAGCTGTAAAATACCTACCCCACCATCTCGGGGTAAGTGGTGGAGTTGGGGGGGGATCTAACTAAGTGATCGCGGGGTACATGCCTGCAGTGGTATGTCTGAAACAGGCAAATGCATGAGAATGCATGATAGCTACCGTCCGTGACTGCCAGCACATTAAGGTAAGTACCAATCAAGAGAAATCACTTTAGTAGTACCTTAGTAGTCAGGTAGCATAAATGAATCACAAGGCAACCGCAGCTTGTTCGTCTGACCAAACAGCATCGACATCTTCAACAACTAATACCATTTATTCCTCCCGCTCCCTCTCCCTCTCCCAACCATCCATCCATCCATTTACATTTAGCTGCATTGTCGAACAGAGACCACATCCCGAATCTCATGGCCCATGGCTCCTCCGAGTCATAGCATGGATTAGCCTAGTTTCTTTTCCATCTTCGCTTCTCCTACTCGCCTAGGTATTTATTGTCGCGTGTTGTCAACCATCGTCGCAGACAACCCCAGAATCGGACGACAACAAGACCCCATCCATCGCAACCACCATCATGGCCCTCATCTCCGCAAGCACCATCCTGACCTCGCTGTGTCTCTTCCACGTCACCCTCGCCTACTTCTTCTACACGAGCCCCAACACCATCGCCGACCAGGCCCTCGTCTGGGTGCTTGGCGAGGCTATGGGTATGGTACGTCGTTCTCTCACAGCCACGACACACACACATG